TTCCCCAGATCCATTTATCTTCCTCCTTTTTATCTTATTAACGTTTCTGTTTCATTCTTTTGCATTCTTATATGTCTTTCATCATTCATTGCATCATGTAGATTAGTCCCAGAGAGTCAAGTTGTTTGAAGATATCAAAAAGCATATATATCGATTAGGATTTCTATTTTTCTTAGCCATATTCTGGATCTCATCTCTTCTAAGTCATTCGTAAAGCATGAAAGTAGATTCATGACCTATTCTCTGAGCCTAGGATCGATCAGAGCCACGAGAGTGCTGTATCAGATCATCCGTACCTAGCTTCAGAAGAACATAGTCGCTATAGGAGTCGAAAGCTACCTATAGAGAAGATGTGAGAAGACGAATTCAATGTTTAATGCATGATCTTAAGTTTAGCATGAGAGCGAGAGTTAATTGCTAGATTTAAGAGATTAGTTGATTAAGGTGACGACAGTTAGTTAATCATACATGTGTCTATTCTAGTTCAATGCAGGTTCCCAGAAATAGATGAAGATAAATCGCCCAGAAGCTAATTGGAAATGACACCATACATCGATTAGAGTAAACCGGAGAAGTCTAAATCGCCACCTATGAGTGTGAGAGTCTTTAGTTTGAGTCGATATGCTTTAGATGTTCTTTTAACAATTCATCCTGCATTGCATCTCTTGTGAATACTAGATTAAGTTTAGTTTAGGATCTTAACCAAAAACCCCAAATCTTGTATTGGTTTATGAGTTTGCTTACTTCCCAGTTTGTTGTTTCTAGCAGATTAGACATTCTCCCTGTGGATCGACACCCTAAGCTCTACAACGTACATCTGTGCACTTGCAGACACTAGGGTTTTATAAATTTAAAACTTTTGGGGGACCAACAGGCTTGTTAAGAAACAACCCTAGGGCCGCAAGCCCATCAACAGTTCACATAATGACAACACCGTATTTATACCCAATTTTACTATTAATTTCAAATAATTTTTCAAAGGTTTTAATTAGTTTTAGGAGTTTTTATACAGTTTTTCTGTATTTGTAGTTTGAAGACTCTTTTCAGAAAACTTAGAGAAAAACATGACAATGAAGGAAATCCATATCTTTAGCTCAGAGTCCAAACATCAGAAGTTCAGTATAAAATGAAGACCTTCTCACCGTTGATCCAGCTAAAATTTGGAGACACTCAAAAGGACTCAATTGACTTTCCATAACACTTTACTTCAGGATAATCCAACGGTGCAATAAGAAGATACATGAAGATCAAGTTGTACCGTCAACCAGTCCGAACTTCAGCTGACCCGCGGAAAAACACCTTCTGGCCGTGCCCCACACTTCTCACCCGTGGTAAACCATCATTTTACCAGTCCCAGAGAACTCTCACCCGCGGTGCATCATAACTCGGCCCAACATCAAGCCCATTTTGTCATTTCTTTTCAGAGAAGCTCTAAAGAAGACCTAGAAGACCTTCGGACCTCTATATACATTTCTTAGCAGTTCTAATCGGGTGTGTGCTCCTGTTATGAGTTTTTGAGTCACCAAACTTTTTTTCTTAGGATTATGTGAAGGAAAGAGGGATTCTTCCCTTGAACCTTTGACATATCTCCTTCCTTTCTTTTAATATATCTTTTCTATTTCAGTTTATGCATCTTTCATATTTGTTTATCTTTTCCTTCATCATGTTAGAATAGTTTAGCAGTTGAGTTTTTAAGGATCCATCAAAGGGATCTACATCTTCGATTAGGATTACTAGTTTTTCTCAACCATATTCTAAATCTCATATTTTTTAAGCTGAATTTAATGCATGAGGTTAGAGTCATGCACTAATCTCTAAACCTAGAATTGATCAGAGCCACTAGAGTGATGTATCAGATCGGCGTACATAGCTTCAGAAGAAAATAGTCGCTGTAGGAGACAAAAGCTACCTAGAGAGAAGATGTGAGCAAAAACGAATTCAGTTCAGTTAATGCATGATCTTACTCGCGGAAAGCTAGTTCTCAAGTTTAAGTGATTAGTTGGTTAAGGTGACGAGAATTGGTTAGCCATATAAGTGTCTCTTCTAGTTTCATGCAGATAATAGAAATAATTAAGACATTCTACCTGAGACTAGTCGGAAGATACTTAGATATCGATTAGGATAAACAGGAAAAGTCCGCGATGACCCCTATGAGTTTAGAACCCCAGTTTGAATTGAGCATCCCTTAGATTTTCCTTAGCAACTCAACCTTATTGCATTTTTAGTCCCTTATCAATTTAGTTTAGGATTAGGTTTAGTTTATTTCATCTTTTCTTTTCCCATAAAAACCAAAACTCACAACCCCCCCCCCTCCCCTTGAGTTTATTATTTCGCTTATTTTACCTAGTTTAAAGTTTTTGCATATTAGACAGCCTCCTAATGCATCGACACCCTAAATACTACATCTCACGACTATGCATTTGCAGTATACTAAGATTTTATAAATTTAAAACTTATTTGCGACCTGCTAACTCTAGCACGCATCACATAACACCAGTGTTCAAGAGTAGCCAGCTAATTTGGGCGAAGCTGCAAGAAACAGAGGATGAGTTTTTATGTTCATTTGTATATGGATCAAACTTCTTGGAGGATAGGAAGGAGCTATGGGAGGATCTTTGTAGCCATTTTACATCCCTGATTTACAGACATTTGCGTTGGTTAGTTATGGGTGATTTTAATGAGATTCTTAATAGGGAGGAGCATTCAGGTGAGGATTTTATTCTGTCGAGTGGAATGCAGGAATTTCAGAGGATAGTCCGAGAGGGAGATCTCACTGATATGGGATATCACGGACCTCTCTTTACCTGACTAATAAAAGGGCTCATGGACAGGTGTGTAAAAAGTTAGACAGGCTCTTGATCAATGATCATTGGCTCAACTGCAGTCCACAATCATATTGTGTATTCGAGTCTGGAGGGTTCTCTGATCACCAGAGGTGCAGGTTCTATGTCAAAGGAGAGACAACAAGGCCCAAAAAGCCTTTCAAATTCTTGAATGTTATTGCCAAGCTGCCTCAGGTCAAAGTTGCAATGGAACAGTACTGGAATGAAACTACTCCCTTATTTCACTCCACCTCAGCTCTGCATCGGTTTTCTAAAAAACTGAAGAATCAGAAACCACTTGTCAGGCAGGTATCTAGGGACGCTTTACACAACATCTCGCAGAGAGTAAAGTTGGAGTATGAGGTTTTGTGTGCAAAGCAAGAACAAAACCTACTTGGTCCTTCAGAGGTAGCTCAGAATGAGGAAAATGAAGCATTTGCTAGATGGAAAAATATGGCTAAATATGGAGGAGAATTATCTCTCACAAAAAGCAAAGTTGAATTTGCTGAATGTAGAAGATAAGAACAACAAAGTTTATCATCGAGCTGTTAAGGTCAGGGAAGTCAGAAATGGGATAAGAGAGTTGCAGGCCTCTTTGGGGGATATTCTTACAAGGAGGAATGATATAAAGCAGGTGACAGTGGAGCACTTTAATACAACAACAGAGGAGATGGGGGATCTGTTGGAGTATCGGTGCTCTCAAGAGGACAGGCATCTTCTAACTTCGGTGGTGACAAAATCAGAGATTTGATCGGTTTTGTTTGCAATGGCCACAAACAAATCGCCATGCAAGCCCGGATGGATATACAGTGGAATTCTTCAAGGAGTTCTGGCCGGTTTTAGGAAAGGATTTGGTGACTGGTATTCAGTAAAGGATTCCTCCCTAAAGGTGTTAACTCAATATCCTTGCTTTAATCCTGAAGAAGGAACAAGCGAAAATAATAAAGGATTATAGACCTATAGTGTGTTGTAATGTGATATACAAGCTCATTTCGAAGATTTTGGAGAACAGGCTGAAGAGAATACTTCTGAATTTCATCTCTCCGAATCAGTCAGCCTTTTTTGACGACATACTTTTGCTTGAAAACTTGCTTCTTGCCTCAGAATTGGTGGATGGTTACCATAGATCATCTATATCATCTATATCTGCTTTGAAAATAGATATTTCAAAAGCATTTGACTCAGTGGAGTGGAACTTCCTGCTGATGACTATCCTGGAGGCTTTGAATGTCCCATCAGAGTTTATACACTGGATCAGGTTGTGCATCACCACATCCTCTTTCTCGGTTCAGGTGAATTGTGAATTGATTGGCTACTTTGGGAGTTTAAAGGGTCTACATCAGGGTTGTTCCCTCTCTCCATATTTATTTGTTAATGTTCTGTCTCAAATGTTGGACAAGGAAGCGATACAGAGGAAATTTGGATTTCATCCAAAATGTGCAAACATGAAGCTTACACATCTCTGCTTCGCAGATGACTTCATGATATTTTCGGATGGGACTCTGCGGTCAATGGAAGGAATAATTGAGATGTTTGATGAGTTCTCAAAAATATCAGGCCTGCAAATAATTTTAGAGAAATCAACAGCTTATCTTGCATTTCATAATCAAATCGAGATACCATAGCTCAGCGGTTTGCATTTGAAATTGGAACACTCCCTGTTAGGTACTTAGGACTCCCACTGCTAACAAAGCAGACACGATCTCTGGATTCACCCCTCTCGTTGACAAGATTCGTGGGAAAGTGAACTCTTGGACTGCAAGATACCTTACTTTTTACAGGTCGCTTGCAGCTTCTGTCGTCAGTGATCTCGAGTTTGATCAACTTTTGGATGGCAGCATTTCGCTTACCAAAGGGTTGTATTGAAACAATCAAGAGCATATGTTCGGCTTTCCTTTGGTCTGGACCAGATCTAAATCCAAGAAAGGCAAAGGGAATAGGGAAAAGTGTGTAGGCCAGGAGTACAGGGAGGACTTGGTCTCAAAAATCTGTGGGAAGCAATGAAGTTTGCATCTTGAAGTTACTGTGGCGCATCATTACAGCAAAAACCTCGCTATGGGTTCGTTGGCTGCGTACAAACCAAATGAGAGGTAACTCTATAGGCCTCCCATCAAACCAATCCCAAGGATCTTGGATGTCGAGAAAAATTTTACAATGCAACGTTCAACTACTAATTTATTAAAGAACAAGGATTTGGCAAGTGGTTGAGCATCTTGGCATTGCAAGGATCTCTTTGAGGATGTCATACTTTGCCTCTGTGCTAATGTCATCACAAAGCCATTGCATTGTCAGTTGTTCCAAGATTTTGGAATTCTCCAAGATATACTTTACTAGTTTCATTTCTCTTTCGTATTTGAAGATTGGACTTTTCAACTCCACAAACTTGAGTGATGCTATCAAACATGGAGGCACCTTTGGTTCTCTACTCTCACTATCAACCACATATTCAGCCAATATCTGCAAAACCAAAAAAAAATAATAATAAAGAGATTGAGTATACACAAAAGCTTTCACAAACAATATATGCTTAAATAAGAGGATTAAAGCTATTTATCACCAAAATGAGAGATTCTAGTTTCCGACAGCTCTGAAGAATAACTGGCAAAAGTTCCACATCAGAGTTCGAAAATTCAGCACTCAATCGGGACAAGTAACAAAACTGAAGCTTGGAGAAGTATGGAATGACGTCCTGGTAACAAAGAAAATAATATTGGTTAGAAACGTTTGTGTGGAAGTATATATAAAAAGTTCAAATGTTGGACGTGCATGTATACCTCCCAAGTAACAAAACTAATAACTAGATCTCTGACCCTTGAAATAGCAGTGAGGATATCACGAGTCATGCTTCCCTCGCATAACTCACTATGTTCACCACCAAAGGAGATATCTACTTTGGCAAAGGAACCTGAACTGGTGATCTTAAAGTGATTATTTGGGTTAACCTCAGTCTTCAAATACTGGAGTAGAGGAGCATCACTCACAACTTTGGTATACACATTTATGTGAATTCTCTTTAGCGTCTGAGAGCGCACTTGTAAAACCTTTGGAGCATCATCAAGGTATGCAATGATCGTTACATCCTCCAGAACTGGTGAGCCTAAAATAAGTTTCTCCAATGTGGCCTCATTGGGACATTTAATACATTCTAAATGCATGATCTTTAGGCAAGGTAAAAAAGCAAACTCGGGATGAACCAAGATGACCCAAGAGAGTCGTAAGTGTACAAGTGTCTCACATGTATATAGGCTCAGGGGTGTTATCACACCAAATCTATAAGATCTGTCAAAACAAATATCAAGATGCTGAATCCCTCGAGCATTCACTAGATCGATCCAGAGGGTTAGATTCAACAAAAAATCAGTTTCTGTATCCAAAAGCCCTTGTGTAAATCGAAAATCCGGTCAACAAACCTCATAAACCAACTGAAACGCTGGAATTCGCAAGAGTTAAAGTCTATTCCAAGAGTTAAAGTCTTCATAACGGCAAGGACCTCTAATGATATTCAACAGACAACCCAAATAAAATATCTCCCCATCATAAACTGAATATTGTTGAAGAATAGTTGGATTTCCTGAACCCTTTACCCGTGACCTCCACTCATGCAATGTGGCATTCCAGACAAATTGATGAGATAGTTCAGTATAGAGCAGGAATCTGGCTGTTGCGTATATCTTGTTACACTCAATCCAAGCAACGAATTTTGTATTTTCATAAGTTTGTCGACCTTGTTTTGCTTGGAAAAATTTGTTCTTGGTAGATGAAATTGAATAATTTCTGAAAACAACATGATAAAGAACTTGTTAAAACTTGTAAATGGAAACAAATAATGTACTATAATAAGTTATTAATCGTAATTCTCTATAAATCTATCAAAATGTTTCTTAATCGATAAAAGTGAGACGCGGAATGCTTAACTATCATGTTCATAGCAGTAGAAATGAGAAATATGGAGATTTTTTAATCAGTATAACAAATGAAGTTGCAGGTCACACAAGTATGATGTAAATATATAGATGAATTAAATAGGGTTTACACGAATATACGAAAACTTTAAAGATTGCAATATAGATCTGGTTTTAGAAAGTAATAACAATATATAAATATCTTTCATATTAACTTTATAAAAATATTGGATATATGGTTAGATAATTCAATTTTAACATAATAGCTTCATATGAATATTAGTTCAAAATTCTTGGAGCACAATATTTTGTTACCATATATTGCGGATTAAATAAAACAGTAAAGAGAAAAATCCAAACTTTTAAATATTTTTGTATCAGCCAAGTTGTGTCAATTGATTGCATTGCCTTGTGTAAATATTATGTCCATATATCAAAAGCGAAAGTAAAAAAATCAAATTGGTTGGTTGAAATAGTTTTCCCAAAAAAACATGGAAATTTGGTGACATTGAATATTTTTAACTACGTTATTCTATATAAAAATAAGAGTTGCTTCGATTATAAACATATTTCTAAAAATTTCCCTGCAACCCTAAACGCCAAATAAGATATTTGAAAAAATGGAGAATCAACAAGAAAAAAACTTATGATGAAAACGGATTACTGATAATTAATCCACCACCATTGAACATGCAATTTGGGGTGGAAGAACCACCTTCACCTCCTCCAATTTCTCAATCAGAGATTGATGAAACTAATATTTGGGAAGAGATGCATGACTTATTGAGCAAATCAACTGCGAAGGCCATCAATGTTTCTTCAGAGGTAATTTAATCTTTAAATTAATCGGTTTTATTATGTACTTTGTATTAGTGGATGTTTATTTCAATATGTAATCTCTACAGCCTGATGGAGAAATATCGACTGATGATCCAAAGGAACGTTGCAAGAAAAGAAATTACGATCTCTATCTAGATCAGGAGATAGGTTTGAAATGTATAGAATGCGGCTTCGTTAAGACAGAGATCCGCTACCTAGATACATCGGAGTGGGTAAGTTGTTAATATTCCATTAAGACATTGATTTGTTTAAGTAACATGTTTGAAGTTAACAATATTATATGTTTTTGGATCTTATAGGCACATAAGAAGAAATGTGGAAAGAGAAACTTTAGAGGTTGATTTCATTAAATCTGTTAGTTGAGTGGTTGTTTCAAAACTTAGTGAAGGATTTTAAAATGGATCGGTTGATACTAAAATCTCTTTTAAAACATGGATTAAATTGTGTTGGCATCAATTAAATTGTAGCGTTTGGGATATAACTTCAGTAAATAACATATACTACCTTTGTTTTATAAAAAAGTGAATTAAACATATTTTACACATATTAAAAATAATTAGTAAAAGTTTTACACTGCTTTTACTAATACACATAATAATTTTCTCGTTCTAACTAATATACTAAAAAATAAGATTTAAATTGGACTTTTGTTCAATATTTTGTATTAGAAATATAAAGTGATATTTTTGTTAAATAAAAATAAAATTTTAAAATAACATTTTTTGTGAAATAGAGGGAGTATAATTTTTTAATGATGGATGTTGTGGATAAGTATTGACCCTTAGAGCATGTTCAATGCAAATGCAAGAACCTCATAAGAAGTTCTTAGTTAATATTTAATTATAAAATTTATGTTAAGAATATTTGTTAAGAAATTTTTTTTGTTCCAATAGTGGAACTCTATTAAGAGTTCTTTACAAAAATTAATAATTTCGCTTTATTGTAACTAGAGTTTATTTTTTGAATAAACATACTTGACATAAAAAATATTTTAAATATTTTAAATATTTTAAACATAGATTTCTAATATTTATATCATTTTTTAATCAAAAATAATTTATTATTTTAAATTTTAACTATTATTTATTAAATATAATATTGATATATAATTTAAACATATGCATAATGGAGTTTGTTAAATAGATAATTTTATTTCATAATTTATAAAGAAAAAAGTAAAAAATAATAACATATAAATAATTTATTTAATTTTATAAAATATAAAAGTTTAAATGATTTTTTATCTTTCCTTCTATCCAATCAGAAACCGACATGTGGCTAATAACCTTTTGCTATCCAATAAAAGTCACCCGTCCCAAAATCCACTCTTATGCAATGTTAGACTATACAATGGTTTTGATTTTCAACACCCTTTTTTTTCTCTTTTAACAATTCACATCATCTTCTCTTTCTTCCACCTAATTATTCAACACAATTTAACTTTTATATTTACAATGGTTCTATTTAATAAAAATTTAACATTCTACCCCACATATTTTACTTCATATTTTTATTATCTTTTATGATTATTATCTTAAAACTAAAAAAAAAACATTTCCTATTTTAACTACGTTTTTAATTAGTAAAAATAAAAATAGAAATAATTATCATTAAAAAATTAAAATTATGAAAATCTTAGAATTAAATACAATACATGAATAAGCATACGAAAAAAACTAAATAAAACACACATACCTTGAAATTTACGATAGACTCAGGTCACAAACAATAAAATTCTTAAATCACATACAAATACTTTAATATCTCTTTAATCATGGAACATTCTAAATTTTTCCCATATGTGTTTGACGAGATCTGCTTGCAATTCGTGATGTACATTTGAATCACGCAACTCGGATCTAGCACGGACATGATTTACAAATACAGGTAACACCTTGGTCGAGAATGGATGTGGTGTAGTAAACCCACTTGCCTCAGACTGATCATAATCAGACTAATTTTGAGCATATGTATCTCGTTCATCTTCAACAATCATATTATACAATATGATACATGACCTCATAATTATAGCCAAATCCGCAATATCCCACAGGCGGGCTGGTTCACGAATGATTTTGAATTGAGCCTGAAACACTTCAAATGCATGTTCGATGTTCTTCTGACATCCTTCTTGGCATTGGGAAAATAACTTATCTGGTTCACTCTACGGAAGTCTAATTGATTTGGGAAATTCAATTGCTCCAACATTCGGATCAATTTCATTACCCATTGGAGTAGAAGAATAAGGAGGTGTTTGAGATGGATATGGCATCATCGATCCATAATATGGACGATAGTTTGGAATGGCTGACGGCATGAAAAATTTTGGTGGATAACCATAATTTGGTATATTTTGGGGTTGATTTGAAGATTGGTTTGGAAAAGGATAATTGTTAGGATTTGGATAGTTAAAAGGATAGTTAGAAGAGTTTTGGGAGCTAAAAGGGTTGTTATTTGGATCCATTTCACTAAAAAGACGGGTAAAAAAATACACAAGAGCTTGTTTAAAACTAATAGGAAAAATATAGTAAAAAAAAGACTTTTGTCCAAATTGAATGAAACAAGTCTCTATTTATAGAGAATGAAAAATGATGAATTTTGGTATAAAAAAAATATATATATATATATAATTTTCGTTGAAATAATTGAGCTCAAATGATTTGGATGAGAAAAAAATATCAAGAATCACAGCATCCAATAGAAATAGAACATGTGTTTTTATCCGTATATTAACTAATTTTTTTTTTCGTCCAACCAATTGATGATAGGTGTCATTTCTTGTCTCTACTTTTTGGTTTTCAACTAGTTGAAAACATTCAACAGAAATGAATCCACATCATCTTTTTTGGTTTTTCAACACAATTGTGTTGAGTCAATTCAACACTCCATTGTATATAGTCTTATCAACAGAGAATGCTAGTACAGCGAGTAGTCACATACTATACCAGATTCAATAAGAACACAATTTTCCAAACCTATCCTGATATTTGGAGAAAAGGGTGTTAGGGGATTACTGGTTTAATAGAGAAAGAGAATGGCCCCCTTTACTGAATTCACTAACTCAACTCGTTATATGGAGAGAGTAGTATTAGTGAATTAGTGGTCCAAAAGGGACGACCAAACAGTAAGACAACCACGATAACCCGTCAGTTTCGAAAACTGGAAGGATAAGTACTAAGTACACAGTCCAGTACACCTTTGTAACGTGAATCTGGTAAGGTAAGTTATATTTTTCTACAGAAACACATATGGAATCTAAAACTCCCTTAACTGCCAGCGATGGAACACAACAAGGAAAATATGTAAAAAGGACTATCCCACAAAAGCTTCGAGAACGAGGATCCAACACCCAACCTGATAACGGGACGAAAGACCCCTATATTCTAGCCAAAACTAAGTATCACTATAAATACACCATTCTCTCCAAAGAGAAGGGGATTTTTTTTTTCATTGTTTAAAATTTTTCTAATAGCAATGGATTTGAAAATACGTTTTCAAATCACTAGTTCTGTCGGATAAGCTTTGGTCCATTACTTAAAGCCCAAGATATCTAACAAGGTCGGTTAGAATAAGATAGGTTTTAAGTAATTTCTAAACAGATTAGGAAAAGGAAAAGTGTTAAGGGAAGATGTCCTAACACTATAAATAGGTCTTTAATGAAGTCGCATTAGAGACAAGAGAGAGTTAAGGGATTATTGTGTTTAGTTTTTGAGATAAATTTTCTAAGCATTAATAAAGTTCTATAAGTGTTTATGCGATTATATTTGGTATCGGAGCTTGAGTTAGAAGCGATCCAAACCCTAATCGAAGAAACACAAAGATTATAAGATATACAAAGATGGGAGACATAGTCCCTTCGACCCAAACAATGGAAACCGTACCTTCTTCAATTCAGTGCCCGATGTTGACCGCAACAAGCTACCTGTGTGGGCAATGAAGATGAGGGTACTGCTCCGAATTCACAAAGTCTGGGAGACGATCGAACCAGGTTCAACCGACACTGCAAAGAGTGATATCGCCACTGGCCTGTTGTTTCAAGCGATCCCAGAGTCCCTTGTTCTGCAAGTCGACGAGCAAGAAACAGCAAATGGCATATGGGATGCAATCAAATCTCGAAACCTAGGAGCAGATTGCGTCAAGGAAGTTCGACTTCAAACACTTATGTCTGAATTCGAAAGAATAAAGATGAAGGATTCAGACTCAATATATGACTTCTCGGGGAAGTTATCAAGCTCGCCTCAAAAGCTGCATCACTTGGAAAGACAATAGAGGAACAAAAGCTTGTGAACAAGTTCCTCAATAGCTTACCAAGACAGAAGTTTATCCACATTGTAGCATCTCTCGAGCAAGTACTGGACCTGAAGACAACAAGCTTTGAATATATCATTGGTAGAATTAAAGCATATGAAGAAAGGATTCTCGATGATGAGAATCAAGGAGATACACAGGAGAAGTTTCTGTACGCAAACTTAGAACAAAATAGTTCCGGCTTAAGAGGGAGAGGACGTGGAAGAGGAGGCAGAGGAAGCAGAGGACGAGGCAGATATGGAAGGTTTAATTCACAAGAGAGAGAGCACCAAACCAAAACGATCAGACAAAAGAGAAGAAGGATAGATCGAAGGTTATTTGCTACAGATGTGATAAACCAGGCCACTTCACCTCAGTTTTTCCGGAGAGAGCACAGAAAACACAAGAGGCAAATATGGTGGAGACGGAAGAAACCGACGAAGCACTGTATATGCATGAAGTTGTGTTTCTGAACGAAGAGAAACTAATTCCAAAGAACTTTGAAGTACACAAAGAAGAAGAAGGAGTTTGGTATCTCGACAATGGAGCAAGTTACCACATGACAGGAAAAGAAGAATACTTCTCCGAATTGAACAGAAATTTCAAAGGCAAAGTCAAATTTGGTGATGGTTCTTGTGTTGAAATAGGAGGTAAATGATCCATCCTTTTTCAAGGCAAGACAGGGGAACAAAAACTTGTCATGGATATTTACTACATCCCTGACCTCAAGAACAACATCTTAAGCTTGGGACAAGCTACAGAAGCCGGCTGCCATGTAAGGATGAGGCAGGACTATCTGACACTCCATGATCCAGACAAGAAACTACTCGCTAAAGTCACAAGGTCTTCAAATCGGCTTTACAAAAGAAAGCTAAAAATTGGAAAATCTGCGTGTTTACAGTCGAAGGTGGAAGACGAGACATGGAGATGGCATTCTAGATTGGGACATATAAGCTTTAGGACGATGAAGGCTATAACTCAAAACAAGATGGTTCATGGATTACTGGAAATCCGAGAAGAGTAGGAATTGTGCGAATCCTGCTTGTTGGGCAAGCAAATTCGATATTCTTTCCCAAAGACAGCTGCGTTTAGAGCATCTAAACCCCTAGAACTGCTTCATGCGGACCTGTGTGGTCCAATAACACCACCAACCATCGCTTACAATAGGTACATATTTGCGATCATTGATGATTTTTCAAGATATATGTGGTCTATCCTTTTTAGGAGAAGAGTGAAGCATATGGAAAATTCAAAGCATTCAAAGGTCTGGTGGAAAAGGAACTAGGGAAAAAAATCCTGACTTTAAGGACAGATAGAGGAGGGGAGTTTACTTCAAGGGAATTTCTGGAGTTCTGCGAACAAAGTGGGATTAGGATGCATCTCACTGCTCCCTATACACCTCAACAGAATGGTGTAGTAGAGAGAAGAAACATGACCTTAATGGAGATGACAAGGAGTAATCTCAAGGCTATGAAGGTGCCAAAATATCTTTGGGGAGAGGTGGTTCGTCACTCAACTTACATCATCAATTGAGTGCCTACAAAAACCCGTAAGAACATGACACCTTATGAGAGCCTGAAAGAAAGAAAACCAAGTCTTAGTCATCTCAGAGTATTTGGGTGTTTAGCTTATGCAAAGGTGGAAACAACAAACCTTAAGAAGCTAGATGACAGGTCGCAATCACTAGTCCACCTTGGGATTGAGCCAGGATCCAAGGCATACAGATTGTTTAACCCAACAACACAAAGAATAGTGGTGAATGGAGACATAGTATTCGACGAGAAAGCAGAGTGGAACTGGAACAAAACACAAGATGGATCTAAGAGAGATCCAGGTATGTTTCAGATGAGGTGGGGAGAGATTATTGATACAGTAGAAGGGCCTGCAGTAATCGGCTATGATCATGAAGAAGAAGGAAACGATGAGTGTCGAACAAAACCATAAGCGGTATCAACCGACACTAGGTGTCAAACAACACCATCAGCAGTGTTGAGCAACACTAATGAACACGAAACTGATTATACCGAAACTGATCAGGTTGACGAGAGCAATACAGCAAACTCACCTCAGCAGCAACAACCACTGAGAAGGTCGACACGTCCTGTAGTTAGACCACGACACTTAGACGATTTCGTTTTGCAAGCGTCGATAGAATGTGAGAATCTCTTGCTGCTAGTAAACGATGAACCAGGAAATTTTAAGGAAGCTAAAGCCTTATCAGAGTGGAGAAAAGCTTGCAGGGAAAAGATCGATTCTATCAACAAAAACAAGACTTGGTTTCTGGTCGTTAAGCCAAGTGGAGCAAAAATCATCGGTCTGAAGTGGATTTTCAAAATTAAAAGGAATGCAGATGGCACGATCAATAAGTACAAGGCGAGGCTTGTAGCAAAAGGATATGTGCAACAATCTGGCATAGATTTTGATGAAGTTTTTGCACCTGTAGCTCGCATATAGAAAATCAGATTGTTGATCGCCTTGGCAGCCTCTCAAGGATTATAAATCCATCATCTAGATATTTTTACATGGAGAACTGGAGGAGGATGTCTATGTGAGTCAACCAGAAGGATTTGAAGCTAAAGGTGAAGAGCACAAGGTGTACAAACTCTCAAAAGCATTGTACGGTCTAAGGCAGAATCCAAGGGCTTGGAATACAAAGCTGGATCAGATTTTAAAGGGCATGAGATTCAAAAGATGCTCGAAGGATAATTCAATGTATCGCAAGCAAGAGGGAGATAACCTGCGCTGATTGTTGCCATTTATGTTGATGACCTCTTTGTAACAGGTAATAGTCTTAAAGAGATTAAGGAGTTCAAAGCTGGGATGTCATCTAAGTTCGAGATGTCTGATCTTGGAAGACTCACCTATTACCTCGGCATCAAAGTCTATCAAGGGAAGGATGGTATCAAAATCAAACAAGAGGCTTATGCAAGGAGAATCTTGAAGGAAGCTGGTTTGGAGAACTGCAATCCGACTCAAGTACCTATGGAGTTTGGTCTGAAGGTTTCTAAGGCACAAGATGAAACAGAAATAGAACCGATTAACTATAGGAGAAATGTTGAATGCTTGAGGTACTTGTTACACACTAGACCTGATTTAGCTTTTTCAGTTGGTGTGGCAAGCAGATATATGCAAAGTCCTCGCAAGTCACATGGCAAAGTAATGAAGCATATACTGCGGTATCTCAAGGGAACAAGTACATATGGTTTGAAGTTCACGCGTGAAAAGACAAAGAAACTTGTTGGCATCAGCGACAGTAGTCATAACATAGATCCAGACGATGGGAGAAGCACTACAAGGCATATGTTCTACTTTGGTTCCTCACCAGTCACATGGTGTTTGCAAAAGCAAGAAACAGTTGCACTTTCAACCTGTGAAGCAGAGTTCATGGCAGCAACAGAAGCAGCTCATCAAGCAATCTGGCTCCAAGAACTCTTAAGCGAGATAACATGATGGATGTCTGATCAAGTTATCACAAAGATTGATAACCAATCTCCTATTGCGCTCACAAGGAATCCGGTGTTTCATGGCAGGAGTAAACACATACACAAGCGCTACCACTTCATAAGAGAGTGCATTGCGAATGGACTAGTTGATGTGGAGCATGTACCAGAAGTTGAACAAAAGGCCGATATTCTCACTAAGGCTTTGGCAAAGATTAAGTTTGCTGAGATGAGGACCTTAATTGGTGTTGGAAAGATGTCCAAAACAGAGTCAAAGCTTAAAAGAGAGAATGTTGGATAAGCTTTGATCCATTACTTGAAGCCCAAGATATCTAACAAGGTCAGTTAGAATAAAATAGATTTTAGGTAATTTCTAAACAGATTAGGAAAAAAAAAGGTGTTAAGGGAAGATGTCGTAACACTATAAATAGGTTTTTAATGAAGTCGCATTAGAGACAAGAGAGAGCTAAGAAATTATTGTGTTTAGTTTTTGAGACAAGTTTTCTAAGCATTAATAAAGAATTTCTTTAATCTATAAGTGTTTATGCGATTATAAGTTCAATAAGACTAGATTTTAAAGACTTTGTAAAATTTATGTTTCAATAATGTATGGTTATCATTTTAATACAAATTGTTCCTAATTCTAGACTGAATACACATCAATAGACTTTTTATTTATTTGAGAGACCTAGTATGATCACTCCATTTCCGACTATTTTCTAACTATCTTATTAGTCAACCCAAATCTATTTTTTCTCACAAACGAATGTGCCTTCTAAATCAACAGATACTCCACGAATTCCATTCATTCGGGCCCAGAGTCTCTTAGCTATTTCTACTATGGTTTCTGATTCTTTCTAGTTTTCAACTATCATCTTTATTATAAAATTATTGACTTGAGCGTTAGAAAGTTCTTGAAATCATTTTTTATCATGTTTCTGAATTAAGTTCCACGCGTTTGTTCATTTTGTGGGAAACTTAGACCCTATGAAAAATCCATAAAACATATGTTATTTATTATATGTAAATTAAGTTGTTCTCCTGAAATAAGTGTTTTTTCTTTGGAAAAATAACAAGAGTTTTGCATTTACATAATCAAAGAGTGAGAGTTCCATCCCTCAACCCAAAAGGAAACTAATATACAAACTAATAAAGGTCTATCCAAATCTATGGTGAAAGATTGGAGCTAGAAGAGACCACCTTTCGCATCCTATTTTCAAATGAGCATATAAAGAAATATATTTAATGGTAGGTCGTAATTGATATATACCGGAGAACTAATCAATGTTTAGTCTATTCACAAAACTAACACTAGAAAGAAAACTTCCAAAATAGGAAAACATAATCATATATCAAATTCAGACATAAGACCAAACAACATTACTTTAGAATAGACTATGTATAGAACTAAAGTTAATATATTTTAGGAATTTTAAGAAATCAAAATTCATCAAAAGTTTACATAGTTTAAGTAGCACTATATTTTAACAATCATTCGAAATCTTTCTATTAAAAGCATGTTTTTTTTAATTATATATGTTTTGGCGTTTATTCTAAATATAAAATTTCTTTGTGCCAATACTTTAGCAAAATAGACTTATTTGCACAGAAAAGCACTTTTCAATTTTTTTTTTACTTTAGCAGTGCTAAAGACGATTTTGTTTTCACCTCTAATTGATCCGTGTGTGTAGGGTTACAACAAAAAAATTGTGCATGTACAGTAAAGAAGTGCTAAAATTCTAATTATCTTTACTAAGTGTTAAAAACTACACAAGTTTTTTTACGCAAAAAGAACCTATTGTACACAGTTTATAGAAAATGCCAAACCATGCAAATGACTCTAGGATATGTTTGAAATTAAATCTCTAAAAATTCAGTACCCAGTTAAAAAATTTTGAATACTGATAAATAATCAAACAAAAGTATAGTTATGTGGGACCTTAGCAATTACTATGGAAGCTGACAACGACATCCGTTTCGGGTCTTTTAAACTACCGGTTCAAGAAACAGAACCGGAATGAACCAACAAAATCTATTAGAAAACACCAAATTTCTTTTTCTTTGTGGTTTATAAAGCGTTTCTCAAAGAGACCAACACATTTCGTCTTCTTCCTTTCTCCTTTTTGTTTTTGTTTAATCGAAAAAAAAAGAAAAAAATGAAGAGCAGCACAAACACTAATTTGATCCTCTTCCACCACCACCACCACCACACTCCTTTAACCTCAAAATCAGCTTCCGCCGTCGCCGCCGCGAATCACCACCGTCTCTTATTCATCCTCTTCATATCTTTCTTCACTCTCCTCTTCTATTTCTCTCTCTTCTCTTCCTCTCTCCACTCCACTACAACAACCTCCCACTCTCTCTCCTCATCTTCACCATCCTCCTCCCTCTCACCACCGATCCTTGCCGCACTCCTCCACTACACTTCCTCATCTCCACCAAACATCTCAATGTCCTTCTCCGAACTCTCCGCCATCTCCACCGTCATTAACTCAAAATCCCCCACCTGTAACCTCCTCGTCTTTGGCCTAACCCACGAATCTCTCTTCTGGAGATCCATAAATCTCAAAGGCCGTACCGTCTTCGTCGACGAAAACCCTTACGCCGTTTCCAAATTCGAGCAGAGTAATCCCGGAGCTGAAGCTTACGACGTCGTTTTCTCGACTAAAGTCTCTCAAGCCGGTAAGCTTTTGGGTTATTATAAAACCCGACCCGAATGTCGTCCCGTTCAGAATCTATTGTTCTCGGATTGTAAACTGGGGATCAACGATTTACCCAATTTTGTCTATGAGATCGATTGGGACGTGATTTTGGTAGACGGGCCTCGTGGGTACGCCGGAGATTCGCCGGGAAGGATGGCTCCGATATTTACTTCGGCGGTTTTGGCGAAGAGTAGAGATTCCGGGAAGAAGACGGATATTTTTGTACATGAGTTTGGGAGAGAGATTGAGAGAGTTTACAGTGAGGAGTTTCTATGTGAGGAGAATCTGATTGAGGTCGTCGGAGATTTAGGGCATTTCGTTGTGGCGGCGGAGGAAAGGAAGAATCAGAGTAACAGTGGGTTTTGTCGGAATTCGACGAAATTGTCGGAGCCTTTTACGCCGGTAAGTAGTGGCGATGAAGAGGTCGGTGTTGATGATGACTGAAAGTGGGTTACTTTTGGTCTTGGGTGGCTCTTTTGTAATTAACTTAGATATTGAGGGTTTCTTTTTTAAAATGTCGTTTAGTCTTTTCGTTTGTTTTTCATTTTGGAGACGGTTACACTTGAAACCTTGGGAGTACAAGATGTATCCTAAAATCCAAAAACAAATGTCATTCCATTGATGAAAAAACATACAAAATATTAGAAGATATTCTGGAAAAATGCCAAAAAATACTTTATTTATTTAATTTTTGGAAGAATCACTCACGAACTTTTAGCGTTGCCAGAAACTCACACAAACTATTTTTTCGATGCATAAAAATACATAAGTTTTTTAAAGTTTCATTTTTCCCCCTCTGATTTCACGGCCGTTAACAGACATAACAGAATCAATAAACAGCGTTAATTTTTTGTAGGAAAAAATGCTAAAAAAATACATCAACTATTTAATTTTGCCAGAAACTCACACAAACTTTTTGCATTGCCAGAAATCCACACAGACTATTTTTTTTAATCTATAAAAATACACAAATTTTTTAAAATTCTATTTTTTCTCCTCAAGTTTCACAGTCGTTATGTTAGTTTTTTGTAACACGTGCTAACTATTCTAGGAGTGATATCATTGTTACCCTTAGAAAATCTTCAAATCGATTTGGGGAAGAAAATTCTACACCCTAATTTTTCTTTTTCTTTTAGAAATTGAGTGAAATCGGTTGAAAAATATGGTTGGTAGTATAAATCGAGTCGGAAACATTGTGTGTTGTGATATATAAGACTAATAAGAGCAATTCGAGGAGATGATGTATATGTTCTAAACATGATTTATTGCTTTATTAACCACATTTTCAACCGATTTCACTCAATTTCTGAAAAGTAAGAGAAAAAAATTAGAGTTTAGGTTTTTCTTTTTAAAGGTAATAATGGTATTAATTTGACAGTAACTAATACGTATTATAAAATATTAACGCAGTTTTTTGATTCTGTTATGTCTATAATGACCGTGAAACTTGAGGAGGAAAAATGGAAATATAAAAAGTTTGTGTATTTTTATAGATTAAAAAAATAGTTTGTGTCGATTTCTAGCAATGCAAAAAGTTTGTGTGGGTTTCTGGTAAAATTAAATAGTTGATGTATTTTTTTAGCATTTTTTCCTACAAAAAATTAACGTTGTTTATTAATTTCGTTATGTCTGTTAACGGCCGTGAAATCAGAGGGGGGAAATGAAACTTTAAAAAACTTATGTATTTTTATGTATAGAAAAAATAGTTTGTGTGGATTTCTGGCAGCGCTAAAAATTCGTGGGTGATTCTTCCAAAAATTAAATAAATGAAGTATTTTTTGGCATTTTCTCGAAGATATTCACTTTAGATTTAAATTGGTAGAAGTTATTTGGTCTAGTCGTCAAAGGGTGTTTAAAGGTTTATATTTCAAGTATGGAATTTTTAAAAAAAAATTCAAATTTGCAAATTGATAGAAGTAAAGCTTATCGAAGTTTCAGAGTGTTTTTTTTTTTTAACAGGTGGTAGATCCATGTGATGTGATTTTTTTCCGGGTGCAACGAGAGAAAAATATCTTGAATTTATTTGGAAAAAAAAATCTGACTATATTTATGGTTGAAACTTGAACGTGAAAAATATGATTTACTTTTTATATGAGATAACTATATACGACGATACAAAACATTTTATTTTTGCTATTTTGGTACTCTGGAAAATTTTCTTTTTAAAATGTGCTAAAATGTGTCGGTGGTGATAGAAGGCCCTGAGAAAGCGGGACTTACCTCGCAATATGGCTTCTCCTTTCCAGCGCTATACATATTAATCAAAGTTTTTTCTTTCACTTTAATTTCTACAAAAACAATAAAACTTATTAATCTTCTCGTGCTTTACAACTAGTTTGGCTTTCGATTTTAAAATAAGATAACATGTCCTAATAAATAAAGCTCAATTCCATTTATGTTTTTCTCGATATATGAAAAAAAGAAGTAATTCATAACCCTTATTCGGTGAGAGAGACTTTTATTACTAGGACACACTTTCAATACACACCAGTTATGAACTACGTTGCACGGAATCGCTCGGAAAACTCCGATTCCCGCTTTGGAATCAGAATTGGAATCGTAATCGGAATCGTATGAAATCGTTTAGAATCGTTGGGGAATCGCGATTTCGAAATTTTGTTATTTGGAAACGCAGAGAAACCGTATAATTTCGAGTTGGAATCGTATTTTTCGTGGTTGGAAGCTTTGCTGCAAACTTCGACTAAAATTATAGAAAAAAATGACATATCATTGTCAACTCATCTCAAGTTACAATTTTGTTGGGCTTAATATATTTCAAACCCATTACATCACTATCATTTTTGCTTTTGTTTTTTAATATTATCTAATTATTTGTTTAAAAAAAGAAATTAACTCCTTTAAACTTAACTATAAAAACCCTAATTACTTTAGATAGAGAAGAGACAAAGCATTCTTAGGAGAAAACTTACTATATTTTTTTTTAATTGTGAACTAGAGAAAGCAAAGTTTAAAATATTTATTCATATTATTTTATATTA